CTACCTCACAAGATACATATTATTCCCATTTTACAGATCCCGTTCCCTTGACTGTCCAGGGTTCTAAAACCGGATTCAAATACAAGAGTTTGAGTATAAAAACCCTGTTGTTTCCACTACATTAGTAATGGCAAATGCAAGGAATATAAGTTTCCATTCCCTACTCATGTTCCCAACAATGACAGAACGTATGTGTCTTTCCCACTGATCCAGATCAGTGATTGGCAAACTGTGGCCCAGCCAGCCTACTGCCTGTTTTTAATTTTATTTATTTATTTATTTATTTATGGCTGTGTTAGGTCTTCGTTTCTGTGTGTGGGCTTTCGCTAGTTGTGGCGAGCGGGGGCCACTCTTCATCGCAGTGCGCGGGCCTCTCACTGTCGCAGCCTCTCTTGTCGTGGAGCACAAGCTCCAGACGCGCAGGCTCAGTAGTTGTGGCTCAAGGGCCTAGTTGCTCCGTGGCATGCGGGATCTTCCCAGACCAGGGCTCGAACCCATGTCCCCTGCATTGGCAGGCAGATTCTCAACCACTGCGCCACCAGGGAAGCCCTACTGCCTGTTTTTGTAAATAAAACTTTATTGGAATATAGCCGTGCCTGTTCATTTACATATTGTCTATGGCTGCTTCGGGGCTATAACAGCAAAGCTAAGAAGTGACTACAGAGACAGTATGGTCTGCAAAACCTTATTCATTAGCTGAACCTTTAACAAAAAAAGTTTGCTAACCTCTGATCCAAACCCAGCCTCAAATTGGAGTTGGCAAGTCTTCTTGCCTTTGGTGTCTTAGCATTGAAGGATGGTCAGATAAATAAATAACTGAGATGGATGGATAGATGGATGGATTGAACCAACAGATGGACAGACATATATGGGTAGTATATCAGAGTTTTGCTCCAAATATGTACCAATGTTCTGCCATTTATAAGCAAAGAAACATTGGGTAAATTAATCTTTCTGGATCTTAGTTTCCTCATCTGTAAAGTGGGGATAATAATACAATGATCATTATCTAGGGCTCTTTCTATTGCAAATGACAAAAATCCAACTTAAAGTAGCTTAAGCAAAAAGTTAAATTTGTCCTATCACATAACTAGATTAAGATTTGGTCTACTTCAGCACTGGCTGGACCCAGGGATTCAAATGATGTTATCTCCATCTTTTAACTTGACTTTCTCTAATTCTTTTTATGTGGAGGCCTCATTCCTGTTATAGACAGGTGATCTTCTAGCAGCAGAAAATACGGCCACTGGAAGCCTCAAGTCCACATTTGTATAGTGAGTGATCCAAAACAGAGGGCCTCTTTCTCCTAACATCAAAGCTCATGAAAAGCTTTGAACTGTGCTTGTGACACATACTCAGTTCTTCAATATATTACAGTGGCCAGGGAATGGAGTACTCTGATCAGATCACTATGGTGAACACAGCCACCAAGACCACGTGAAGTGAGAGAGAAATTCCCTAAAGGAACCAGGAAAAGGAGTATAAAAAAGTGTCTGCATGAACAAAAACATCACTCACAGCATTCTACTTCATAGATTTGTCATGAGAAAATGATTTTAGAGCATTTAGCATGGTGCATGGCACTTAAGTATCAACAAATGTTCATTATTACCATAACTGATAAATAGATGAATGGATGCATTAAATAGACAGCTAATGGTTAAACATATTGATGAATAAATGAAGAGGAAGATGTGAAAAGATAGATGAAAGGAAAGATGGGAGAATGGACCGATGAAGAGACAAAGATGGGGAGACATATGGACACATGGATGGACAGATCAATCAATTGATAAATGGATGGATGGATGATGGAAAGAAAAGGCATACAAAAAAGGGATCACAGTTAAGTTTGTCATATCATATGCTCTAGGGCTGGGAATGGGAAACAGAATAGCGCTCCACAATTGGTGTCTCCTGAGAGGGCCCCTCCTCTGGTCTCTGTCTCTTGGGTCCCTCTCATCAGGTGGGGGAAACACTTGCTCCCCTCCCTCATCTCTAGTTTCCTTGTGTCCCTGTGAGCTAACCAGCTCCTCTCCTCAGAAATCCCCTCTCAATTCCCAGGATAGGGAAGGCATGGCAGAAGGGGGTGTTCTAAGCCAGGTTCCCCTCATGCTATCGATAATCCTCTGACTCAGTTTGGGGCACAGGAAAATAATGGGGGAAAGGGACAGTACTGGCTGGGCCAGGAGGGTGAAGCCCTAGAGTCCTGAGATGTGAGATATGGGAGCTGGACCTGCTTCCAAAGAACTTTCCCTTTAGCCCTGCTTGTCGAAGAGAGGAGTAGGTCTCAGATGATGGATGTGTAGTCACTGTGATAGGCCTAGGGAGACCTGGGAGATCTGCTCCAGCCTTACCCTGCTACCTGTGATTGTCCTCAGGGAATCTGGGGGACCAGCTGGGTCCCATCTTTCCCACTCCAGTAGTCTTAGGACCACAGAGAAGAGGTGGGAGTAAGGAGAAACCTGGGAAAGAGGGAGGCCCCCTCCACCTTGCTCTGACCTCTAATCCTGAACCAAGCTCTGACCCCTAGCCTTAAAACTGATGTTCAAATGCCTTCAAGAGGACGACACTGCAAACCTTCCCCTAACAGGGACAATGCAACCCCCTTCCGTTGTCCAAAATGTTGAGTGCTGAGGTTCTCAGAGCTAAAGACAAAGAGTGGGAAATGGGGACAGGGAGACTACTAAGGAGTTATGAAAGGGAAAAAATGTTCTAGATAGATGGAGACAGTGGGGAGTGCACTCAGTGGAAAGGTATTCTGCTACCAACTCATGTACTGCAATTCAATTCAGACACTAACTACCCAGAGCTAGTGTTAGACTCCACAGGTTTAAGGGCACGGTCCCAACAAGCCTGCCCCCACTTGAGATGCCAGTCACAAGTGGGGTCCCCAGGCCACCTGCATTTCTGCCTAACTAGCTACAAGTCCAGAGGTCTTCAAACCCCCCTCAGGTCCAATAGTTCACTAGAATGACTCACAGAACTCAGAAGTGCTATACTGACAACTACTTTTTTGTTTGTTTGCTTTTTTGTTTGTTTGTTTTTTGCTGTACGTGGGCCTCTCACTTTTGTGGCCTCTCCCGTTGCGGAGCACAGGCTCCGGACAAGCAGGCTCAGCGGCCATGGCTCACGGGCCCCGCCGCTCCGCGGCATGTGGGCTCTTCCTAACGTGGGCCTCTCACTTTTGTGGCCTCTCCCGTTGCGGAGCACAGGCTCCGGACAAGCAGGCTCAGCGGCCATGGCTCACGGGCCCAGCCGCTCCGCGGCATGTGGGATCTTCCTGGACCGGGGCACGAAACTGTGTCCCCTGCATCGGCAGGCAGACTCTCAACCACTGGGCCACCAGGGGAGCCCTGACAACTAGTTTTTTTATAAAGTATACATATATAAGGAACATCCAAATGAAAAGACACACAAGGAGAGTCTCAGCGCAGAGCTCCCATGCTCTCTCCCCATGGAGACACAAAGGGCATGTCACCCTCCCAGTACAGCAATGTGTTCACCAACCAGGAAGTTCCATGAGTGTCCAGAGTTTTTACTGAGATTTCATACACAGGCATGAATGAATTGTTGGCAACATGACTCGATCTCCTCTGATGGACTGGCTCAAAGCCCCAATTCTGCAATGATATGGTTGATCTTTCTGCTGACCAGGCCTCATCCCAAGTCACCTCATCTCTTAGCATCAACTCAGGTGTGACCCAAGGGGCTCACAGATAACAAAGACACACGTATTACTTGAGATATTCCAAAGATTTAGAGTCTCCCTCTCAGGAACAGGGACAAAAGCCAAATTGTTTAGTATACAACAGACAGAGCCCTGCATCTGAGTGAAGGGATGTGAATTACTGAAGCCCTGGGGACCAGGCCTCCTGTTCCCGTGCACCAGACTTGACCCAGCTGCAGCAGGGCAGGAGTGTCACTGTGAGTGTGAGTGTGAGGGTGAGTGCGGTGGAAGCACAGCTTCTCCATGCTCCGACTGCAGTGCTTTCCACTGGCATCCATGGATCTGTCTGTCACCTGTCTGTATGTAGCCCAGAAGATAGGTATGAGAGGGGAAAAGTGTGTGGGATGGTGGGAAGAGGATAGGTAAATCTATTCTCCACACTTCAGCCTGAGGGAACTTTTACTTCACTCATTTCTGGTCATTCTCTCCCATACCGTCCAGCCACAAGGCTCCCTTCCCCCCTCCCCAGACCAAACAGGGCAGCTATTTCCAACCTCCCACACCGGGTTAATTGCTCTTTCTTGGCTTTACCAAAGCACCCTCTACCGCCCCCAGCCAGTCAGCTTCGTCTATTGTAGTGATCTTATTGTCTCTTTTGATTCCCCTCACCCCTCCAACCTAGATGACAAGCTCTCTGAGGGCAGAATCTGTGCCTGTCTTCTCTGCTGTATCCTCATGCCCAAGCACATCACCCGGCACATAGTAGTCACTCGATAAATATTTGTTGATTAGTGACTGCAGGAACAAAAATCACAAGAAAGGAGGTCTCAGCTCAGAGAGGAAGGGCTGTGACCCTCTAACTATGAAGTGACTTGGCCAAGGCCACTCAGCCAACAAGTATTCCCATAGCCTGGCCTGTCTAGACTGGGCCCTCTCTGGAGCCCTATTCCTCCTCTGCCCAGAATCATAAAAATAGAATGGGGCAAACAAGAAAGGCAATTGTCAGAGCAGAAGCCAAGAAGACAGAGAGGAGAGGGGATGGCAAAAGAGTACTGGAAGCGTCCCGAAGCTCTTTTCTTGCTGCCTGGTGCTGAGGTCTCCGTCTTCCCAGGGTGGAGCTCCGAAATCTGACTCCACCCTTATAAAAGAGGGCCCGAGCCCTGCCTCTTAGTAATAAACCCTGACTCCACCCCTTTATTGATAGGCTCTGGCTCCACCTTCTGGACTACGCCTCCTCTGAAGAAATGCCCTGGCTCCGCCCCTTCCGGGTAATAGGTAAGCCCCACCCCTAGTGCGTGACGGTGTCTTTGTGACGTAACGTACCGGCCTGTTTCCGGGGTGGAGCCGGGGAGGGTGGGCGTTTAGGCTGCGTCGACCCCTCAGCCCCCCTCCAGGTGACCCCAATCCCCGAAAATCCTCACCCGGGGCCCCAAATATCCCAGCCCCATGACCTCGAAGGCCTTTGGCTCTAACCCCCTAAATACCCAATGCCCCCGAGGTGCCCGACCTCCCAATCCCTTAACGTCTAGTGCCTCCCAAATCTTCAATCCAACCCTGTCCCGATGTGGCAACTGAGTCTTCCCGGGGGCACCTGTCTCATATTACCCGAGAACAAGTCAGACTGGTCCAGAGAATGACAGAGAAGGGGATCCGGGATTGGGGAATCCTTGATCCAATCATGCCGCTCCCCAGGAGACGTTCGGAACCCAGGACATGTCGGGATTGAGGAGATACGAGGTGGCGCTGGAGGCTGAGGAGGAGTGAGTGGAGGCGGGGTTCTGCGGAGGAGGAACCTAGCCGCTCCGGGGTGGTGGGGGAGGGGCGGGGAGGGCGCGAGTTTTCTGGGGCGGGGGAAGCGGGGGGGGGGGGGCCTCTTAGGGGGCGGG